TATTATAATTATTTTGACGTTCCTACTTTCGATATTATCCGTGTGTGTGCGAGCTGAAGTGACGTCGAAAGTAGGAACGTCAAAATCATTTTCTATATCAATACTGTTTTCTTTGAAATTAATTAGAAAATTATGTGACCGAATTAGACATTTCGAATGATTGCGCTCTACGGAGCGCAAGTTTTACTTTAAGCGCATTTTCTTTGATATATCTTATCTGGCTTGTCTCCAAAATTGTTACATTGAATTTGATGTCCCTGACCAGATTACGAACTACATTATATAATATATGTATGTGAGAATTAAGGTGAAAACCAATTCAATATTAGAACCAAATGTCGCCTAATCAATTGTTCACGATTAGTGCAGAGCTCTTCGAGATTATTTACATAACGACTACATTTCCTGGGTACTGTAGAACATTTTTCTTGCAACCACATTTTAATAATACATCGTTTCTTTCGATTTTCCATAAGCAGTACGTAAGGTGGATATCTCATTAATTACTCACTGATAATTATCGCGATGGCGATCGAAGGATCGTGCCAAACTCCCAACATTCTTTCGACGCGTGTATCCTCGTATAGTATACTCTATTAACGGTCGTACACCCCCTACAAGGCAGGCGCTTGAAGATCACGATCAGATCGTCGTATATGGTCGTCCATTCGTTGGATCGTTGACCGTGCACGAGCTGATACCGTACCTCCTCGATTTCGAACTCATCGCACGTTCGTGCGCACAAGCAAATTAATTTCTACCTGAAGTTTCGCTGAAAGTTACTTCTTTCGTGTTTCACCCGTATACGTATTATATGTATCATCCCGTCTATCCTCGCCCGTCTATGTTCGCACAATTGACCGATCAGTTGGCAGCGTCGCGTGACTTTTGTGGAAAGTACTTCCCTTTGTTTAACGATCTCAAGGGATTCTCGTTATTCGCTAAGCACAACCCCTCGTAGGGGTTAATTAAACGCTCGCTTTTTCCTCTACCTGAGCATCCACGCCGGTGTTTTTCGTATTATTGATATCTGCAGGTTGCCTTGTTCCAATGCGCGTCCAATTACGATAATCTGCGTGAGTAAAGTGGAAACTGTCATACACAGATTGAAAGTTCGACAACCATATCGGCAATTATCATTTCTGTTAAATTAATACATATAGCAGTTCAACATCTTAACATTCAGACGACGTAGTGGCGTTACATATCTAAAGTAATATATATGTCGATTCCTCATGTTAATTTCCATATTTTACGAACTGATGTCTTTTATTATTGCCTTTAGAGTTTTTAAATTGTTAATCTGTCACATAGGTTTCTTGAATGATTACGTTTTATAATTGACCTGCTTTTAATGATTAACGAAGTGATTTAACAAGTGGAACAGATCAAATGAACATCATTTTATTTTGCTAATTATATCCTTCCCAAAAGAAAAATATGTATTTTTTCGAAAAATCGCTCAAAATTCTTCGTTTTGGATGTTTATGCCTTATAGGTTTCTTTTTTTCATTAATACCTAGCCCAGTAGAACGAATGTTATCTTGCTAAAAACAAATCACAGAGACAAAAAATTCACAAATAACATTGTGTGTTAACTCATCGGTATTCTTGGATGGTACTCTCTAATTTCATTGCGTTAACACATCACATTCGTGGCGAGCCTCCACTCTTAAATCTCACTTCTTTCCCACGTCTTACCGGCAAACCTTCATCCATCTTTCAAGAAGGCGACGTAACATTATCCCGCCTAAATGCTCATAATTCTTCCATTTTGCGCTAAGTGGCTTGTATGGCGCGGTAGTCTTATTCTACAAAAATTTATCCACTTGCGGTTAATTTATGAGTGCACAGCAGAGGCTGTTCCTTTTCTTTTCGTTTACGTAAATAGCCTGATGTGTACCTAAGCATATGATTAATGAAGATACAGAGGCCTTCCTGGAGAATATTGCAGTATTATATAAATAAAAATAAAAATGAAAAAACACAATATTGTTGCAATTAATGTTTATATATTGAAAACTTATGATTTATATCTATACTCAGGCGATAGATAAATAATTACAAACAATATCGCGTAATACTTCTGTCGCTCTGATAATAATATTTCCCTCTTCCCGTCACGTTTTTCACATTTTTCAACATAGCTGATTGACAGCAGAATAGAAAATTTGCTACGAAACGTATAGAAGCCCGCGTGAGATTCTGCAATGTCATGAACAACACAACGCACAATGTATGGCGCTGAGAAAGAGAGAGAAAGTGTTGTAACGTGACAGAAATTACACAACGAATTGAATGACCGTCGCCGGTACTATTTTACACTTGTAAATCGATCCTCCCCCTTCGATTTCTAACGATAATTGTCAGCGCACGTGACGGCGACTTTTCCGTGCTATCAGTTTGCATTTTCTTTGTAGCCGAGATGCATAGCGACGATATGTTGCACTGCCTTGTATTTCAACTTGCTAGAATTGAGCATCTTCTGCGGTTGCATAGTCACGTACTCTCTCTCTCTCTCTCTCTCTCTCTCTCTCTCTCTCTCTCTCTCTCTCTCTCTCTCTCTCGCTAGTTCGTTTCTCTCCACGTACTATTTCTTCGTGTCATTGTCTCAGGGATGTAGCAGTATATTTCGATTCCCTTTTCCCGCTGGCAGAAACCATCATTGAATCTCGAGTTGCGATATTTGATTTGATAGAATAGAAATAAATGATGTGTAAAAAATACTTTTATAGGTATAAATGCATGGCATATATACTATAAGTATATAAAATATTTAATTCATTATTGCTTGAGAAATTTAATTGATTATTGCATGCTTGTCTGTAATAGAATTAAATTATTAATTTTACATAATATATGTAATTAGAAATGATATCTTTTAATAATATTTATTTTTGTAGGTACATAAATCATAAATCGTAGACATTTATTTAACATCAAGGGAATTAAAAATATTCGCTACGGATTAATTACTCGATTATTAATTATATATCATTATTACGATTGAAATTAACTAAAGGTATATTGTACATAATTGAATATGTTATACTAATTCGAAAAAGAATTAAGAACATGGAACAGATTAAAAGAACGGATACATATGCAAAGATTTTTTTATAAAGTCTTTTATAATATCGTTATACATTCATTGACAATTAACTTTTTCTACTCTAATTTTGAGAACTTTGTGTATGTTAGATGTCGCGTTTAGTTTGTAGGAAAAACATGAATGTCCTATAAGGTTCCTCGTTACTAACAATATTATCTCTTTTCAATCTCCACATCATTCTTTTTGCTTCAACTTACTCTATCTTACCAAAGAATCTCCTTTTTTTATTTCGAGATTTTCATTCCGATAGTTGATTCATGTATTTGTTTTTTTTATCTTTACGACCGAGAAGCGTAAAGTGTTAGAGAAAGGGAGATGTTCGTTTTATGATCGCAACAAAATTTATGAGCGAGAAAACCTTTCCACTTTAAGTGAAATATTATTGTTTATATAATATTAGTCATAAGTATTTTAATATTTAAATAACAGAATTTTTAATTTTAATGAATATGAAAATAATAAATTCTAAAGTAAAAAAATTTGTATAAACTGTAATAAGAGAACGAAATTATGATAGGTATAAATAGCTTTTTTTATTTTAAAATAGGTATAGATATATTCTATTTCTTTTTTTCTTCCCTTCAGAAACCATAAAGTAAAGATGACGCAGAAAAAATTATTAGCTATTATTCCTTTGTTATTTTTCGAATTAACTTAAGGTTACATTGCGATATGTAAATAGGTCATATTGCATTGAAGATATATGCAGTTTATACGATTCATACCACCTCCATCTAGGCAAAAAGTGACTTACCGCTCGTTATAATTATCACGCATAAATTATACAGTGCAGTCATCCTACGCTACGCATCAATACGGAGTTTGAAACCGTACTCGCATCAGTGAGTGAATTAATACCTGTCGACGATACGTCGGAGAGATACAAGCGCTTCTAAGGCACACCTTGTAACTTCCAGGATGATATCCTGGAAGTGGCAAAAAAGCTTCATCAGCCTACTTGATCGTAGCCAAAGTTTATGTTCCGAACGATATATGTAACTGTTAACTATTTGCGCTGTTCTTCTACTAATTGCTACGCATTAAATCACTCTCATCTACCGCGAACTTAACACCGACACTAAACACAGATGCTGTATTGATGAGAGGAGTTAAAAAGAATTAAAAAAAAATAGTAGCCCGTTAGATTGGAGGAAAAGTAACAATTTTGTAACTGTTAACGATAACAAATTTGGTTATCACTCTGATTAAGGAAATAGAGAAAATGTTCCTTTATCTGTCGGAAATATTGTCATGCATAATATTTTGTTGACGTATTTGGAAAAGTATTAATTAAAACTATTTATATTTTTTATTATTAAAACAAAAAATAATTGTTCGATAATATAATTATGAAACAAGAAATAAAAAGGTGTATTAATTAATTACTTATCTGCATAATCTTGATATATCGCTTGATATAAGTTTTTAAAAAATCATAATGATTTTTTTCTTTTTTTTTAGTACTGGGGGAGACAGATTGTAAAAAAAAAATATGAAAACGCTTCAAATAACCGAAGGTATTACCAAAAAGATAAAAAAGTAGCGATCAATTCTTTTCTATAGTTTCAAATTTTCCACTTAAAAAATCCCAGTGCTCGGCGCGATGCCGAGAGAGTTTGCGAAAACGTTTCTAAACAAATAGTATTTGCAAATTTATTCCTAGGCGTTGGTGAGAGCATTCCTGGCGGATCCCAGCGCGGAATTTCTATCTCGCGAACGAAGGAACGCGCGCGCAAGGCACGGCAAGATAAAGGGGGGGAGAGTTTCGCGAGAAACGTCGCTTTTTTTTTTCTTCTCTTTTCTCTCTTTCTATTCAGGACCCGTCGTCGCGATGCAAATGCCCACTCGCCTCCGGAGAGCGGAGGTAACGGAAGTGGTAGCGCGCGTAGATTGCGCACTCCGTTATATTTCCTGCCTGACGCGAGCCGTTCCGGTGTCTCCACACGTGCGTTCATCATATCGATTCACGTGTAGCTCTCCACGTGGAGAACATCGTCGACCACCCGGGCCACCGCGCCGTTTTAGGAGTAAGACGCGTTTCTCGCTCTCGCGCAAACTTTATTGCGGCAAACCTCCTGCTGAAGGCTGCAAACTAAGTCACGACAGTTACTCGCGACTTACTGATTCTTACAACATTGCGTTAATGGCTGTTACATCCTGAATCGATTACGAAAACTGAGATTGAGACTAGCCGTCGTATTTTTTCAATACTATTCTTTATGCATAAGTTTAGTAGTAGAGTTCATTCTCTTTCCTTTAACTTTTAAACAATAAAAATTATTCACTTTTCTTCTCATAGAACTGTAAGAATTTTTGCAGAATTTTTTTATCAACTTTTTAGTACTGCACTTTCTTATTTCTATTATCACGAGGAAATGCGGTGTTAAAAAATTCGGAAAAAATTCTCAGAACTTTATGAGGAGGAAATAAACAATTTTTGTCTCTTACAGTTTTTCTGTAAAATTGATAGTGTTTGAGAAGGAAATTATTAAAGACCGATGTTCGGCCATTTTTAGTAATTGCGAAAATTGCAAAATATAAAACTTTTTTGTTTCTACGCCCCCAATGCGGCTCCGGCCTTACTCAAGAGACACCCTGTATATTACAAGCGTAATTAAATTTATATCGTCAATTGTGACGTTAAATTTCATTAGATTGTTTATTTGGATTTCTTTTTTCAAAGGCAAGAATAATAGGCTATAAAAGAGGATTAAGCTTTTATATTTTTATACTTTTTATTTAATGAAGAATTGCATTTTGCAATAACGGAAGATTAATACGATTTACAACTTTACAGTAAGCCATGTGAACGTATGTAAATGGAATCCGTTGGAAGTGCAGAGGAGAGGCCGGGATTAGAGTTCGCTCTAATTTTAGATTCTGTTACCGAGCAAGCAAATGCACCTTCAACGCATTTCGGCGTATTATGTTCGACGGTCCGGAAATAAAATCGCCTTCCAACGTTGCGCGACCGAGCATCTACACGCGACGACTTCCGGCTGGCTCAACGTTTTGTTTATTTCTATGTTATCGTCGTAACTTGCCCGTCGCGGCACGCAGAGAATCACAAAGTAGAAGCGTTTGGTTGTACGTACCCAATGTGAGGAAACTGTGTGAAAGGAATACTAATCCGTGACAATTATACATTCGTATCATATTTCCCGTGCGATGTTCCAAATGCAAAAGTGTTATTTTTATGTTTAGAGTCAATTAACGTTTCTCTCCCTCAGACTTTTATTATTCTTGGGCTCTTTTTGAAATTTCAGCCAGCGGCTCCTCTTTTGCATCATCAAACGAAAATATCTGATATAGTGTTTCGTGGACAATTCTTTTTTTTTTTCTTTTTTTTTTAATAAAATACGCCCCAGATGTATATATTACCGAGACTATATAACGTAACTTTATAAACTTTTTCCATCCTATGGAATATGATTAACACATTGACTGAAAATGATGTTTTATCGTATTTGAAAAAGTCTATGTTAACATCGAAAGTTGAATATCTCGAATCTTTCGAAGTAGAGGGTTGATTGTCAAAATGCTTATAACTCAAACAGGATGTGGTAGAAAAATATCCTTTTTTTTCCTGTAGATTGCTGATATAATACTAATTTGTTGTGTAAAATGATTTGCACCACAAGCATTGTATACATATTATTTATAATGATTTTTAAGAAAATAAAGTTGGTGAGTAAATTTGTCTTATTACCTATTTTGTCTGACGAGTCTTTGACATTATTAAGTGATGTCTTAGAAGATCTGTACTACAATTAATTAATCATTATCCTGATAAAATTTATGAATACAATCTCTTTCGTTAAAAATAGCTATTTGAGGTAGATTGATCAAAATGAGACAAAGTTAGGACAATTAATTTTATTATCTTTAGAGAACGTACTTTTAGAGATTACACTTACAAGTATATTGTATTTCATATAAATATGTTATTTCATTTTCTATACTGAAACTAAGTACGGTACAAAAACAAATTACGTATTTTTTATGACAAAAATAATTATTTTATTTGAATTATTAGTAATAATTACTGTTATTTCTCAAAATATAGAACTAAATATATTATTAAAATAAAAATTGTATTTTTTGTATTGTCCAAATATGCTACTGCCAATTCTAGAACGTGTGACAATCAATTCAAAACACGGGGTTAATTTTCACGGAGTCACATTTTCCTAACTCTATTTAAAATTAAATAACTTACTTTCACGATATGATGAATTCACTAGTAATATTCTTTTTCATACTTAAAGGATGTAAGTATATATTATACCGTATACGTAATATTTCAAAATCAGGCATCCACCTTTTTTTTAGATCACTAACTTAATCAAAAACTGTGACAACCGGCTTCCGGTCTTCCCTATATTATTGTCTCTTTTCCGCGATTGCATTTCTCTTCATGCACTTATTTTGTGAACGGATATCATTGCATTGATAACTGTTTACGTTTACGAAATAAGCGCATGGATTTTGACAAAGAAAAAAGGTTATTACAGTGGATTTATAGTGCAATTTAATAGTGTCAAATATTAAATAACGCCCATAATAACGCGCACCTATTTTCTACTCGACTCATAAAAAAATTGCGTTAGTAAATATTATAATTTCTAATTTTAGTATTAAATGTAATATCATGATCTTGTAAATTTTTATCGCGTATATTAATATTTTTATTTGCTAAATGAAAGCAAATTAAATTAGAGAAAGCATATTTTATATAACCGGTTTAAAAAATTTCAGTTTCACCATATCGAGATTAAATCGTATTCGTTCTGGTATTATACGATGCATAATATTGCCGTATAAAATACGCGAGCAATTGCACCGAATGCATTTTGATAATAACAATTGCAATCGATATAAACTATGTCCGCACACAATCCTTTCGATTTGAATATTTTAAGAGAACTTTTTCCTGTGATTTGATAAATTTTTTTAATTTAACATTAATTATAATAATGGATGCTACTAATTTTGATATTTATATTTTTTAATATCTCGCTTTTTGAAATTACAATAATGATCATAAAATCTTGTCCATTATTATTTTTTAACACGATAGTGTTAAAATAAAATATATTTCGTAATATATTTGGCACCATTATCTGTGCAAATTTATTAATCTTCGAAGTATGTTAAATAAAATTATATTTTCTCACACACAAAATAATATATTTAAAATAATATAAAATATTTGTTACTTTTTTATAAAACTTTGATTGCAGCTATGTAAAACGCAGTATATATTTTATATTAAAAGATTACAGTTTAATAATGTTAATAGTTAAAAATTAACAATTTATTAATATATCTTTGTGCATATACAGGATGTTCGATAAGTAATGATAAAATTCTCACGCACAGGGGTAGAACGGACTAAACTGAATAAAAAAGTTCTGTATTATTTTACAATATATATTTTCGTAATTGTTAATAAGATTATTTATGTTAATTAAATACTTAAAATTCGCCGAATATTGATTTTTAATCATTTTTTACTCAAGTACTATCAACTTTACAAAAAAATAGCAAGTGACAAAACTTGTTTAATTTTTTTTCTTCGTAGTATTCCGAGAATTTTTTCAGAATTTTTCATTACCGCGTTTTCTTATGTTGGTAAAAATAGTTGCCAATATAAGAAAATGCAATACCAAACAATTAACAAAAAAAGATTCTGAAAAAAATTCTTGGAGCTTTGTGACAAGAAAATAAACAATTTTTATGTCTTGCTGTTTTTCTGTAAAGTTGATAGTATTTGAATAAAAAATTATTGAAAACCAATATTAATAATTTTTAGTAATTGATATCTTGTTAATTATTGCGATAATTCAACTCAGTCCGCTCTACTCCTATTCGAGAGTTTCTCCTCGAATTTACCGTTACTTATCAAATACCCTGTATATAACAATGCTTTCCAACAATCGCGAACATAATTGCTTTCCTGTTTACTTTTTCTAAAATTCATTTTTAATTCTCTCGATTTTAAATATTACTCATACAACAAAAATTTAATTGGATTTATTGATTCACCCATTCTATTTGAATTACGCTCCGTTGACTACTCTGTTCTCCTTTGCTGCACTTCTCCAAAGTGCGTTCCTGCTCCTCTCTTTTCAATATAGCTCGTAATAGCGGTGGAATACATTCGTCTTGAAGACCGTTTCTTTTGTTACGACAAGCCTCGTACTTTTCCAACTGATAGATGGGAATGTCGTTTCCGTAACGAGCGATCAACTCTTGCAGGCTGGGCAAGTCTAATGTATCCCTGGAAATTTCAGGTGCACGTTTAAGGGCTGACTTCTGACACGGTAATGCTTTGTCCGACTTCGCGGATTCTATCTGCACGATCTCAGCTCGCAGTATTTGCTTCGAAGGCAGACGTTGACTATCGAGACGTTTTTGCATCGTACATCTTTCTATCGGTGAAGGCTTTGCATCTAATGCCAAAACTGGCTGACAACAACCGGATGAACATATTTGTTTCTTGTCTCTTGAGAGTTTCTTCAAGGAACTCGGTTTGAAAGGATCAAAACCGTCCTTACATGTTGCACGAGAAAGTGGATCCTTCATCTCTGAGGAGAACAAGATATCAATTTTCAAATCTGCTTTACCTGGTGTCACTTCCGGTTTCGACTTTCGTTTGGAAAGAGCTCCTTTACAAGGAATCATCGGTTTTTTAACACAACTCTTAGAGGAATCGGTTGAACGACTAATTTTGTAAGCACTACCCTTTTTTAACTGTGATTCTAAATGAATAGAGTAATTGGTTTTATCTTTGCTTATCTTTGTCGAACACTGAGTAATTCTAGGACCCTTGGGTGCTGGAGTGCATTTGATAAAAAGCATTGGCTGCTTAGATGATCTGTCATCGTCGCGACAAGATGCAATATTTTTTGATGATAAACGACGCGCTATTTTAGAGCAGCAGTCATCGTGTTGCTTCTTGTGCTTGTCAGTCTTTAAAATGTAAGTTGCTGGAAGTAAGATAAATTTATCGCGCCCAAATTGAGAAGTATCAATCGAGCTATCTTGCTGCTTTGCGTATTTGCTGCGTTGCGGTGTCACTCTGAAAATAAAAAAAAAAAATCGCTAATCTCGATAAAAATTTCCTTTACTTAATTCGTGCATACGTCGTTTCAAATCAAGTCAAGCGTATAATAGGTGTATGTATTATATCAAATATCTATAGACACACATATTATTTGTTGCTATATATAAATTATAAAGCTATAAATTATATTGCTATTTTGAATATTTTAATTCCGTTGTTTCTCAGCTGTGATGCAGGAGAGATATTATGAGCACTGCAGGTAATATGAGCACCCTTTATATTTCTGTAACAGTTGGTAACTAGTAGTGCCAACCGTTGTAAAAAGATGCATCTGTCTTGGCGACATTCCAATATGCTGCGAAGTTTGAACTAAATTTATGTACTTTGGATATTTATCATATTAAATGAACGGATACGTTATTTTTTTTCTTTCTTACATTTTCTCCTCTAACCTCATAAGATTCTCAATACATTGAGATGAAATATTTTGTTCTGCGTGTTAAGTAAACAATATTGAACCATTCTAACCTTATAAAGTCCCATTATTCATTTATTAGGCACGGGAGTCTTTTTCAATAAATATACATGGCTTTTTACTACGAGCATATTCATTGTTTCTTATTGTATACTGAAAAAAAGAGTTTTGACAAAGGGTCAACCACTATGGCGATTAGTTCATTTCTTTAGAAATATATTGCGGCAGTACAGTAATAAAACAGGCAATGGTAGCAATACTAGCAATACGCTAGCAATATTGTGCACAATAGGTGGCAATACATAGGAAAGCAATATTAACAATACAATAGCAATGCTAGCAGTGCGTGCGTTGTATCGCCATAATTAACAATCACTGTATATTTTTTTAGTAGTGGTTGATCCCTCGGAATTTGGTAACAGCTACTAAATGTATGGTGAAATAATGTCGATTAAATGTTTGATTAATACAACCAAAAATAATGTTACTTTTACCAAACTGTTACCATTTGGTAATATTTACTGTGTAAAAAAGGAATTTACTGTGTCATCTGTGTCTCTTGTTGGAAAGTTCCCACAAGGTGTTTCACTTACATGGCCAAATTTCGAGGGTGTAAGGAATCGATAAACTAAGAAAAAAAATCTTTCGTAGATTTGCTCGTTTTTATCTCGTTTTGGAGAAAATTGTACAAAAAATGGACGAAACTCGTAGTTTTTCATTTTTGTGCTTATTTATTTACACTTATTAAAGAATATGATTTTATCATTATTTTACTGAATCGTTCTTAAGTTTCGATCTTTTATTCAATCAATGTAGATCAATTAGATTCACATGTTCTTTTTACCTCGAGAACGAATCAAGCGACGGTTTCATCTCCATGCAGTGAAAGGAAAGACTGGTGCAGCAATTCAGATAATAAAATACGGCGTAGCATTTTTAAATGACTGCAAAAGTGAATTTTTTGTTGCAGCAGCCAATTTTGGCCCGTGTTAGCCTATCCGCAGTGTCAACATATGTATGACACGATTTCGATAGATTAACGCAACGAAAAATTAACCGCCTGCAGCCAATTAAAAACGCTACACCATATTTCACCCAATATTTCCTTTCAGTGAAGTAAATTAAATACACGAATTTCGAGCGGAATCGCTACATAGTGTCAGCGGACACCTGGACGATCTGGACCACCGTTCGATTGACTTCGACCTGGCACCCTAGCACGGTGTATCCCGGCGGATACTGCAAATTGATGCGACGGTAGATGGGCAGAATATATCCAAGGCCGCGAGACTATTGAATCGAGTAACAGCTCGTATATCGCATATTCGAACTTACGATGTCTTTATATCTCGCGATAGCCCTTTAATCTATAGAAATCTCTACTTCAAATCTCCCTCAGCCACGCCTTCTCTGATAAATTTCGTGTTAAATGTTCGCGGTCTCCGATCGCGAAGGAATCGAAATCGAGAGGAGAAAAGGAAGACTTCGGGACCTTCGCGGGGTAAAGTTTCTCAAGGTCGCGATGCTCTCGCCCAGGTTCGAATTACGCGTCTCGTATCGCTCGGCGACTTCGACCGCTGCCTGTTGCCGGTTTGTTAACCGGCCGGAGAGATATTTTTTCTACGGCGTATATCTGCACGCAATCACATTACGTCGGGCAGCTTTCATTTCGCCACCACTTCGACAAGCAATAAGCATTTCCAGTTTGCACTTACACCGTCACGTAATTGAATAATGCAGCAACTATTTTTTTTATTACGGATAACATTGTACATTTTTTTTTTATTTAACAAGTCATATCTTTCAGACTTGTACAGACTTATATGTGGGTTTCGCATTTGTAATATCGAAACTTTGCGTAATGTCGAAAAATACAAAATCACTGTATGTATATGAAATAGTAAATGAAAATAGTTGATAGCGTCGTCAATTTAAATGTAAAGTCTCTGTCCTAAGTATATTAATGGTATACAATAAAAACACGACCGCAACTTAATCGTGCAGTACGTTGATACTTTAATTGCCAGCTACATAGAAAATAATGCATGACAAAGTGGTGGCTTCATGGTATTTACTCATGGCGTGCGTTAAAGGGTGGAGAAACGTATATTCGCGATGAATAAGAAAGCGTGGTAAAAGAGGCAGAATGAGGGAAATAAAAAAGAGAGGACGCAGCTGCTCGAAGGAAGGAAGAAGGTATGCAGAAGACAGAAAAGTGGGAAATATGGTAAAAAGGCAAAGAGAGAGTGATAACGGGAGAGAGGCCTCCCTTTTTCATGATGACTCATTTACGGCTACGTACGTCAGCTCGAATTAACGGAGACGAGTCTGTGACATTTCTTTTTCGACGATTTAGCCTGCAAGCGAAATACAGAGACGTCGTCCATCGTCCGGTCTTTTTTCTTTTTTTTGGTGGCACTGCCGAGAGAACGAAAGGAATCTCGTGATTCATAAAACGCTGTTTCCGAATGAATGGAGCCATTCAACATTGCTGTTTGAATATTTGTAACTGTCCAAATCTTACGAGTACCACGTGCAATGTGATGTGCAGCTTCGTTTAATATTAATACTCGAGTGATAATTGTGCATGCGATTTTATGAATGTTTAAGAAAGAACCAAAGATTCTAAAATATCATCTCATGTTAAAGTTAAACTCTACGAAATAATTACAATTAATTTTCTTAGTCGAGATCGCGAAATTTCCTTTCACCGTTTTACCAATCTTATCCGAAATGTCAGACATAACTTTGGTTTTTTCGGATCTAAAATATGCACAATGAATGAAATATACATAGTGAATAAATGAAAAAGATCTTGGCGAAAAAAAAAAAATAGAGATGCGAAATATTTAATTTTAAATGTTAATCGCGCGTTAGGGACGAAAAATTCGATTAAACTAATGACTGAAAGTAGCGTATACAATGACTATGATAATCGACATACGAAGGTGTAAAGCCGGAATAATGCGTGACAATGCCAGTCACGAAAGTTGCTTCGCGGTACGTGATCACGAATGCGATTCTCATTGTCGAACGCTTACGAATTTTGCACCGGTCACTAAACTGGTCCGTCTGTCTGTCCGTCCGTCCGTCCATCTCTTCGTCCCGTCAATCGATTCAAATCCCAAAATAAGCACGCTACCCAATGTCCGGCAAGCATATGCAAATTGCCCCGCTACTCCCCTATGAAGAAAGAAGCTACCGACATTATGTTACAGCTGCCCTCATTCGGCTCTGTAGAAATTTTTTCGCTCGATTTCATATGACTGCATGCCCATAATGCATCCCACTTTAGGGTCTAATAATGAATAATCATTTCTAACAAGGGGAACGAGACGATAACGCGCAATTTTTGTATGGGGCTATTATTAGTGTTGAACGCTAATAGATCATTTATGATGTACGCTAAAATATTCATTATCGTCACAAGGACGTACATCATTTTTTAACGATCCATCATTTTTCGTCACGACTTGCCGTTCCACGATGATTCATTTACGACAATTTGCGTAGATTTAACTTTGCGAAAATTCGCCGTCGGGCGGAAAAAATTTAATTTTCTGTTCGAATTTTATCTTTCTGTCTCTCTACATCGAATACTTTTAAGCCCAAATTATTACAACTACTAAACGTACAGGTTAATTTGGGTAACTTTGCCGATCGTTTCGAGAACTTTTGTCATCTTGTAGAAATCTGCTGTTTTCGCTTCTCTGCGTTCGTCGTTGAAGATTTGTGAAGATCAGATTTTTAAACTGTTAATTTATCTACTTTTGTAACTCCTACAATTTTCTGCACTGTAACTAGAATTTTGACATTTTGTTACCACTTGAAGTTAACCAAAATTAACAAAGCGAGAACGTCTTTTCGAAATGAATGAGAATAAAATCGAGCCTTTATATTTCCAAATTCGATTTATTTAAATTATCTATTTAAAAAAATCTTTTCACACTCAAATCTTTATGTATTGATTCATAAGAAGATACTTTTTGGAACGAGCGAAGATGCCTACTTTTTTCACTCTGCGGATAATTAGAAAGCTATTCGACAGGTTTAAAGATAAGTCCGGCATCAAACCGGGCAAGCTCGTGTTTAAATATTGCGGACAATATCAGCTTGTCGTGGCATTCGTTTGTTCAAACAGCCCAATGGACAGCACCTATGCGGTTTCGTTCCGCTTGAACGGTAGGACAAGCACAAAAGCGACATCACATGCGACAAGCCGCAGGGCCTTTCGCTCTGCAGAAAACGGGAGCGATGGTCGACGTCGACAAGTTTCTTCGCGATTCTTGCTCTTTTGTGTCTGAACAACAATCTTTACCTGAATTGATTTAATTTTTCCGCAAAGATCATATCAGAAGGATAGTTTAGACTGGATTATAAAATTTATAGTCCAATATCTGTATACATATATTAATGAGTTGTCATAAATCAACGGATTAAAACGCAGGATTTGCAGGATTCAACTGTGACCTTCTTTCATTTAATCATTTTCCATTATATGGTTTTTATAGGTATTAAGAACAATTAGTAATAATAGTTACAATTAGTAATAATATGTACTTGTTGGAATTTTAATGAAAAATTAGTAGGAGGAATCTAGAAACTATCTACTACACGATATAGGAAATAAATTCGAGATTAGTTTAGTCTCTGAACAAATTTATCCTGCCGCTTGTCTACATCACCTTAGCCTGTCTTCGAGCCATCTTCGTCGTCATTCTTCTTTTATCAGCGTTGTCAAGACACGACAAGGTGACGACTGCAAAAGAAGAAACGAAAAATGAGGGATGAGAAAAACGAAGGATGTGGACGGTGACGGTCGTTGAGACTTCGCCTACACGCACTCTCCGTCTAAAGTCCGTCTTCCCACACGTAATTCATGTGTTCCTTCAATGCTCATCCCTCGCGCTCCTTAATCTTCTTTCTCCCCTGCTTAATCTCGCCGTAAAATCCGACGTTCACTCTCCGCGTGCAGTTGAGGAACCGGAATTGAGATAGCGCCATGTTAATCGCCGCCGATAATAAAGGGTGTCCCAAAATTAACACGAGATTTGAATTAAATAGAAAACACAGTTTTTAGTCTTTTGATTGTTATTTTTTTATTGAATCATAAAGTACATAGGATAGGGTTATTTGTGGAATAACACATCGGGCAAATGGCCTCCACGGCTTTGCATGCACATACGCACTCGTTTGTCGAAATTTTCCATGACCATTTTGCATAAATGTGGCTGAATTTCGTTGATGCAGCGTTGAATCTCCTCCTTTAATGCACGGGTGGTTGTGGGCTTGTTGACATAGACCTGTGATTTCAAATAACCCCATAAAAAGAAATCTAATGGTGTTAAATCACACGATCTAGGGGGCAATTTTGGCGATTAACAAAGTCATCAAGGTGAAAATGTGCTTCATCGCTTAGGATGATTTTGCTCGAAAAATCAGCATCCATTTGTTGATGATTCAATAATCCATTCAACGAACTCATTTTCACTAACCCTAAACTGTCAGCTGTTAAATTGTTTTTTTTTTTTGGATTGCCAACACTTTACTGCACAAATGGCGGCAAATTCAAATCTTGCGTTAATTTTGGGACACCCTTTAGGACGCGTAATGGAATGCACGGTCAGTCAATCGCGCCTCATCTTTGTATACCACAGCGCTAATAATTACATCGCGCTAATCACCGTATACCTACACGTATGTACACGTTTTTGCTAATCAGTGATGCAGTAAACGTGACCTCGTATATTGCAAGTACCTCTCGAGGGTTATAAGTTTCAAGTTGAAAATAAATACATTTTTGAATATATGTACAACTTTAGAGTTGCGTGGTATAAATACGGAAAAATGATTCTGTATTTATTTGCAAAGATTTTTGTCTTTATTTTGTCTTTATATCTCCATAATATACACAAAACGCAACACACACATATAAATCTAATTTTTGTAGGAAAAATTACCAGAATAACAAGGATTTCATTATATTCTAATAATTAGTCTACTGTTATTATCGGAATATATTACATCTATTAGCCTCGATCGTCTAACAAATCGAGTTTATAAGAACAGCAAGAAAATATCTTTACATTACTAATGCATTTTTAGCACAAATATTGTATGTGCTACGTTTGTCCGTCGATATATTGTATATTACGTTATGCAAGTTTCTTTTTCTTGCCTTCGATACTCGTGTATGCGCTTATTTTCAAATTATTGTCGATTATTAAATTAATTGATAATTATAATAATTATATTTTACATATCCAAAAACGTACGTCACGTATAGTTCGTTAATTTCTTATACTTGCATCGAGTTTCGCTCTGTATGAGAGTTGCGTACGGGAAGTTATGCTTAACATTTAATCACTTCTGAGATCGAGTGCAAGACCGCGATCTTGTAATTTCCTGCAAGCAATTACAATTTTTACGCCCGTACTGACGTGTGTGTAATCGCATGATTCGAATCGTATAAAAAGTTTACAAACACACGCAAATACGCATTAACAGAAAAACGAGAATATTTTCTTCTCATATCTACATTAGCTACATTTTTAGCTTGTTATGCAAATTATAATGTAATTTTAATGAAGCGTAGGCATCAGATAATATCAAAAGAATATTAAAACATTTTACATGCAGTTTTTTTTGGCTAATATTGTCGGGTGATAAGTTTTTCTACGTGTGCGTGTATCTCGTAAGAAATAAATATATTTATAATTTCCCCATTTTGATACTCTTCGTGATTTGCACGTTGTGATGTTTTAACAATAAATAATAAACGCGGCTACCGATATTATTACCTATGTTACACAAAAGCGCAAAAAAGTAGATTAAAATATTTCTCAGTTTCACTGGTCGCATTTCTATATTACAATTAGACTACTTGGCAATATATTACTTTTGTACATTTATTAATAATATATCACTATTTTTATTACACATCTACCGCCATTGTTGTGACAGTAATGAAAATTTTATTACGATTTAAACGATAATCGTACATATATTGCGACAATTTCGCGTGTCGATTTCATGTTCTTTCAATCGTCATTTTCTCTAAGCGTTTCCATCCGTCTCTCGTGATTAGAAAAATACAGTGTATAATTGCCATATTATACTAGGATCCGTGCTGTCTAACTCGTTTAAGTACAGGTCGTTAAGATTCCCTGTCGTGCACGGCGGATGTTGCGAACGTCAGCTTCAAAGGCACGTGCTCAGACGTCTGCTTTCGGTGCGAGGGAGATAAGTAGTGACGTCGAAAACGTACGTTGTAAATGCACATTTCCCAGGCAGCACTGTCATAAAATGCTAATTGCATTATGCACCTAACAAAAGGTTGAGAAACGGAAAGGGACGAACGTCCAACACTCGTCGTGCCTTTTCCAGAGTTTCCTACATTACAAAGAAAGATCCGGCGCGCGGAAAGTTTCTGCTCACAAATTTTATCATTAATTCGTGGGAAACGAAATACAATACATTTTTTTCTTTTGTGAAAAAAAAAAAAAAGAGTATTTCGGTTCCCGTTGCTAACGCGGAAATTCAACGCATTCTCGAGAACGAAATCGATTCTCTCGGTAATGAAATTTTCTCTACAGAGCCACCCTTATTCGCTGCGATAAATCTGAAAGTACGAAATCCGGCCGTAACATGCAAAATGAAATTTTCCTGTGCGCAGCGCGGTGGGTAAGCGCAAAGAGAATCCGCAATCCACGAGATTGTTCGCTTCGCTCGCTTTACAATCGCATCCGTACACCCGGCTCCGGGTCATTATTCATTTTAAGCGGCGGCACGTCAATCTCCACGCAGGATGAGGAAAGCGCGTTCAGCGCCAGCGCCGGATCTTGCGCATTATTACAATTAGCGATGTCGCAAACGACACGAACGATCGTGTCTCACGACACGCGGAAGTTGCATTGCGACTCGGTGTAAGAATTTGCGACTTGAAACGTTTACGCAATAGACCGGCATACCTAAATCGGGGATGCAATGATGCAATTAAAAATCTCCAATTTTTGCACTGAGAGAAAAGTTTGATATTTTTGTGTGTGTGTGTGTGTGTGTAACTATAATTATATAACACGGTAATTATGATCATTACTGCTATAATAATAATAATAGCAGTAACTATATGTGTAGTTCTAGCAACAAATGTATATAGTTGAGAACCTAAAATGACTATAATTATAATTATAACCGTAAAATAGTTGGAATTACCATAAAAATGATTCAAGCGACTATAATTTTACAATTATATTTTATAACAACCGTAAATAGTAATATATAAATTCTGTCAGTGCGTATTTCTGAATTTCTACGATAAATTTGAGACAATTATAATTACATGGGTTGCAGATATTATTTCTATTAAAGTTTACTAATACTAATTAGTAAAAAAAAAGATAAGCTTTTATTCACTACTTTACTTTTGCTTCAAGATAATTCTCAATAGTATATATGTTAGATAATTATTTATTATATATTAGATAATTAATATAATAATTGTTCGTTTTTTTACGATGAGAATACATTAAATTATATTTGTGTTATTTCTTTTTAATATTTAGAATTCGTCGATCTACCCGAGTTCAGTAAAATAATTTGAAATTACGTTTTATATATAATACGCAGTTATTAAATGTCAGCGAAACTTCGAGCTTACTTTCTCGCAATTTACTCAGCTGATTATGAACGATAATTACAGTATCGATTATATATACGAACATATTCTTATTGATACACATTGCGACATCGATAAATCTATAATAAAAATCAAACTGGCTTCAGTTATAAGAGTGAAAGGAGTTACTGTAGAGAGTTGCTTTAAAA